AGGAACTCCGTCAACGACGACAGCGCTCGCGCGGGGCCATGGATGAGTATAAGAATGCGGTTCGCAAGCTCCGGAGTGAGAAGCAGAGGCTTAAGCGAGCCTTTAAACAGCAGATCAGGGACGACTGGACCGATAAACAAGCCGTAGTCGACATTGAGGCCCAGCTCAACGGCCTTGGCTTGGTTGAGGACTCGACGGTCGAGGCTTCCAACTGTCCAATGCGCCCCGCTCAGAAGCGGTTGGTGGATGCCCTCACGGCCCCGGTCGAAGCTTCAATCGAAGGTCAATACCGGCGAAGAGATGCTGCGATCAACGCGATTGTGGCCTACTGCGCTGTAGTAGAAGGACCAGCTACTTGCCGCACTAACAGTTCTACCGCTAATATTGCACAGCAGTCCGTCACAGGCGACCGTCCTAGCCGTTTAGATGTGGCCGCCATGTCTGTCTTCATAACGAAAGACGAAGACAGGCCAAGAAGATGCTTCCTTTGCGTTGGTGAAGCGCTCTGTCTGGAGCCAGATGATCCCCGTATCGATAAACTCATTCACCTGTTCTACACGTCCGGTGACTTGACGAAACACTTCAGGCGACGGCACCTGGCAAACCTCCAGGAGGATGACAGGCTCCAATGCCGAGTTTGCGTGATGCCGCTGGACCACAAAATGCATCTCCAAAACCATGCCCGTCGGATCCACGGCACTGTGTCCTAAAACTGTAGGTTATTCAAGTGGGTTCTTTCCTGCCAACCTGGCCTAGGTGCCTTTGTAGGTGATTTCGACAGACTGGGATTCCTCGCAGTTGAAGAGATTTTTGAGAAAAAAAAGGATGCAGGGGCGGGAATGACAAAGTGTAGCGACGGCGAGAGCCTAAGGTGGACGCGGGAACTGCGAACACGAATCATGCAGAGCGGATCATCAACAAGCCGTGTGACGACGAACGAAAACAAGCGCAGGACCGAGGAGACATTGGACTTGGAGAAGGTAAAGAGGCCCAAGCTTCTTCATGAGGTTGCCGATACAGACGCGGACACAACAGTTAGTGAGGACGGCGGGATGGCCTCAGGCGACATGAATGACGACGATTATAGCAGTGAATGGATGATAACAGCAGCTTTCCAGGGGCTAATAGAAGCGGCCGCGCGTAAGAGGGCGACCGCTGACCACGCTAGCTTCGTTTCGCAGGCACCTAGTAGCCGGCTGCAGCCATATGCCCGGCTCAACAGCCATACTCATCCCGGTGCTGCTATTAATACGCCAGGTAGTTGAGGCTACCTCAGGCATAACTATATAGGGGCGCCGAGAAAGTCACCTTAAACAAGATGTATCGAACATGGTTGTTAGCTAGCTTGCCTTTCATCATAGCTCAATGTAGATTACCTTTCTTTACATGATACCAACTGTGGTAGGGTCTCCAATACAATACTATACATGACGATACGGAATACCCGGTTGAGCGTCTGCTCGAGAAACGGGGCAACATGTTTTGTCTCCAGTGGAAAGACGGCACGTGGTCATAGCAGCATCGACGCGATGTGTCCGACGACCTTATTAACCCATTCGAGGCTGGGTGGAAAGGGTACCACTTAGGTATCATTGTGATACACAAGAAGTCAACAGGTAGGGCGCCGTTCCGCCTCCGATTCAAAGACTGGCCATAGGAGAACGCAACAATCTAGGCTGCCTGTAGGGAGCTGAGCCCAGAGCTCAGAGCACAGTGGCCGAGTAAACCAAAGCGGCGAGGCCGCAGATCAGTTCATTAAATAGCGCAATCCCACATTCTATAATGTTGTTCTCTAGATGCTCCTCCCTGGCGAGCACAAGCGTATGCTTGTCGGGCGGAATAACTTCCAATAGAAGAGAGTCAATTACTGAAAAAACAATTTTCTATCTTCTTTATACTACTGCTGTCGAATGCCTGAAACCGGCATTTGTTCGGAAGGCACAGGCAGACGCCGCACCGACAAACCCGCCACCGGGCAGCCGAGATGGGGTGCGACAGCTGGACCCAACTGCACAAAAGATGCCACAGTGCTCCCGATATCCTATCGCTTGCGCCCAATGCATCGCTATTAGCGTTTCGTTGAGCCGATAGGAGAGAAGGGGGGTTACATCAGTTGGATGCCTACCCTCAGGGGCTTCGTCTGTAAAAGGAACGACGCCCCCTCCCTCTCGAGTGTGAGGGTTGCCAAAACTTTTCCTCTCCATCCGTCCCGCGCTCGTACAGCTGTACAAGCTCCGGAACCCATCGACTCGAGACCGGCAGCCGCTTCGCTCCGCTATTCCCCAGTCACTCACAGCTTCAAGGCGGCCGTAGGGGACGCAATACATATGTCGCAAACGCGAATTCCAGCCGCTCTAAGACGATATATCAGTAGGACGTCCGATATAGGAGCTCAATGACTTGCTTTTGGTAAGAGCCGCCTAATTTGTGCTCGCATCGACATAACCATCCAGCAAGTCGCCGAGCAAGGCCGCCGAATCCAGATGACCGGCTGCTAGAAACTGCTCTGAGGCGGCTCTAAGTGAGAGGAAAAGACGGGGCTTTCGAGGTCGGACGTTTCGAATGTAGGACAAACCAGCAAGATGGAGCATCTATTGAGGAGAAAAAATACCCAAGTAGCACGCTCGCTTATCATAACTAACTTATAACGTTGATCAAGTCTGAGAAAACAAAATGAGAAAACAAAAAATCCAAACGAAATATACGGGTATACCTCGAAATCAGCCGGCGTAGTCGGCCTTAAAGCTTACGGTTGGCGAAGAGTGCTCGCAGCTCAAGGTCGTGTCCCATGTTTTATCCTGCGACTGGCCAACGAATAAGAAAGAAGGGGAGCAAAAGGGGATATTACTGTTGATTGAGAGTGTAGTCGGTCCGCGAGCGCAGACTGTAAATAAAGCCGCAGCATGAAACAAGCCTGTTTAGCAACGGTTACAAGCACTGTCTCCAGAATCACTCCTGAGGCCATTCGTTTGCTTACCTGAGTTGTAGCTAAAATATAACGTTCTGAGGTATGCCTCGGCGATCACTGGAGCCGTTCCTTCTTCTGGAAACCACGAGCAGGCGAGGAGGGAGAGGGTGGTAGACGTCGTTGCAGGAGCGGGTTTACTAGGGAAGACCAAATAGTGAAAAAATAGATATATTTTGCTCTCAGGCCATCGTGATCTGCTCTTTAGGAAGAGACCAAGATAGCCCGAGAGCGTTCACCTTGACAAGAAACGAACTCGCATCCTCTTGTCCAGAGCAAGTGTGTTTGCCAGTTATACCACAAGGCCTTCGTCAAAGAGGTCGAAGGCGTCGGGATATAGCTCGTGCTTTGCTCCGATTTCGTCATATGGTGAACTGCTGAATAGAGGTTGTTTGCGCCTGTACATTGAGGGTAGCAGCTTTGAGGTCTAGAAGAGTCGATCCGATTTCGACTTGACTAGTGGACTACGACTTCTCTTGACGTTTAGAACACGCGATTCTAGAGTGTTGCACTAGAAGCGCTGCAAAAGATGGACGCCTGGCGCGGAGGCTGTGAAAGTTGAAGCGCGTGAATACAGCCTCGACAAGACGGTCTAGGGTCCAGCCCACTTAGCTTGACGCCAACTACGCTATTTCGATATATAAGGAGGTTGTAACAGCCTGGTTTGTCCAGTGAAGATCACTACGGCGAGGGCCATCCAGGCCAAGCCCGGGTGGGGCCGCAGAAAGCCTCCTTGAACAATGCAGGGACACGGAACCAGCATGCCAAGCTCCGTGGCTCCGTGGTGCGCATGCGGTCAGCGGAAAAGGTACGTACCACCAGCAGAAATACTGTTGGCAGAAAAGGTATGTACCGTTGGCAGAAAAAGATACGTACCGTTGGCAGAAAAGGTACGTACCGTTGGCAGAAAAGGTACGTACCGTTGGCAGAAAAGGTACGTACCGTT